ACGAAACAATAGCTTGGAATCGAGGCGGACAATGTAATCCATTGGAAATAAGTATAGTTTTCCAATGGATTACATTGTCCGCCTCGATTCCAAGCTATTGTTTCGTGTGCACTCAAGCAAATTCGGGAAGTGTCTATTACTCATTTTTGGGCCACATTAAATGCGTTTAATAAACGCCTAAGTCATTCTGTAACCAGTTGTTACATATGCCGCAAAAGATCCTATCTCATGAACCAATCAGAAAGCTTCTTATATGCCGTAAACAACATTTTCCTATGTCACGAGCACGTTTTGGTATAAAAATCAGTTTTTCCATTTTCTCAAAACTTAAAAAACGAGTTAGGCAATTATGCTATGAGGCTGACGATATAATGTATGAGCATCAATAAAATGCAGCTTATTTAGCTTCTCTTGTGGAAAAAACTTACGCGTGAAAAGCTGATGTTGCTACAAGAACTTCCACTCGTGAAAACACTGTAGGGAACACTTCCAGTCCCAATACCCCGCGGTAGGATACCATCACTGAATGCGAACCAATTGAGCGTCATTTCTCCTGTTGGCTGAGCAGGTTCCATAAGACAGATGGAGAAAGAATTTTGATCAACTGACGTTACTACTGCAACTGAAGCCTCGTTTCCATTTCCAGGATGATCTTCATGACTCAAAGAAGGAAAAACCCTGATTGTCCCATTTTGAAACGGAGTAGGAAAAGGAACAGTTTCGCAATAAAAACCATCTGATGAATCTTCAGTGATGTTTACTTTGCCAAAGTTTTGCTCTGCCGTCGTTGCTGTAATAATAAAATAATTTACAAGGAATCGACATGATAAACTCGATATGACATGTAAAGTGTTTCATATATTAACACACATTTTTTTAGAGTGTAATACAGGTTTGCGTTTATATATAGAAATGGAATCTCATTTTATTAGTTTCAGGTAGTGAACAGTGAATCCGTTGGTGATTTAGCTGAATAATAGTGTAATGTAGTAATAAAATCATTCTATATTACCTATACTTTAGACACGGATGACCCCTTGTTCGAAATAATGAACAGTCAAGCTTTAAAATAATACTGAAATAATTTAATTTATAAGGAGTAGTATTCCTAAAATATTTATAGCATAAAAGATGTACTTTGTTTTTTATACACCTTGTACAGTCAGTGTAATACATCGAATTGGATGAAAACATTGAGAAGTAGCCAAGAAGTCCTATACGCCATACATATCGTTTTGACTTATGTACAGCAATGATTAATTCACAAGTTTTCTCGACTCTTTCTTTGAAAATTTTACTTGAGTTAATATAATTTTAATTTCAGTTTGAGATATATTGAGTCCCGCGTACGTAAATCAGGCTTACCTTCAGGTATCTCAAATTTTCCAGCGACCAGAAGCAAAACAAGTGAGAACCACATCTTTTTGCTGCCGAAAGACAAAACGGTTTGTATTAAACTGTTGCCTAGCTCAACAACTTTATTAAAAGTTCTACAAAAGGCAGAATAAAAGATTAAATACCTTTTTGCTGCACTATCTGAAAACGATTTCAATGAATAACTTTAAAGTTACCTTTATGATCCCGAAGGCTGCTATGAGAGCACATTCAAAAGCACTTACTTTTATGCTCATGCATAGCAAAGCACTTTGTAAGCTTTCTCCCGGGAAGAGTAAACATATTTTAATCAAATGTTGCTTTAACTTTTGCTACACGCAAACAGGAAAACAATTATTAGTTCTGGAACAAAAAATATTTGATTACGATTCTCGTGTGTTTGGAATTGGAAGTGTTGTTTGACCATTAATTATGTCGCCAGCCAAGCCAAGGCTACCATTGTTTGATTCAGGAAATGCTCCTATATATTTTCTATAAAATTATTTCTAATTCCAATTAAACAACGCTTTTTTCTATTTTTGGCAGATGTATAATTTTCGAATGCAATTCTTGGAATAATACTTTTAGTACTATTTAAAACACGAGAAGAAGTGTTTTATCATATTTAAAACGCGAGGCGCAGCCGAGCGTTTTAGATATGATAAAACGCGAGTTCGAGTGTTTTGAATAGCTTAAAATACGACTACAAAAGAGTACTAATTAGGATGAACAATTATATAATCATACTAATTGGGAATAAGAATTATATAAAGAATACTAATGAAGATGAGTTTTATCAGATATAAAGTTACTCCACGTGACATATTATGGCTGACATGATTTGCCACAAGGTTTATGAATTTCTGATGAGTATCTTAAATGCATTTAATACGATTTTGTACTGTCGTCCTATCTGTGTCCCCAATTAGCATGTTAAACGCTAGAATGTTTTGACACATTAATAAAGTTTCTTATCTTATCTTATCTTATCTTATCTTATCTTATCTTATCTTATCTTATCTTATCTTATCTTATCTTATCTTATCTTATCTTATCTTAGCTTATCTTATCTTAGCTTAAAATACTCATTAATACTTCATAAACCTAGTGGCAAATCATGTCAGCCATAATATGTCACGTGGAGTGACTTTATATCTGATAAAACACATGTGGCATTATATAATTGTTCATCCTAATTAGCATGATTATATTATGGTTCATCCCAATTAGTATTCTTTTGTAGTCGTATTTTAAGCTATTCAAAACACTCGTTGTCGTGTTTTAAATAGTACTTATCTTATGTTATCTTCTAGTCTCTACCGACTCTAAATTCCGCGAAGTGTACATTTCTGCATGACGTCAGAAAAATTACGTTCAATTTTAAGTCTACCATCAGAAATCGCGACCGCCACCGTGCTAAATCGATTCATTTCTTGACAGACGTTTTTAGAAGCTACATTGCATATACTCAGCGTGTTTCTCAAGTATAACTGGTGGTTCCTACTTATATATAAATGTTCACAGATTATTTGATAAATGCCGACTGAAAAGCCTTAAGCATCTTGTGTTATGATCCATGGTTATGACTTGCACGCATGCAGAGCACTAAGGTACAAATAAGTAAATGTATAGATATATCAGGGGTTTTTTCTATAACTTTATGTTTAGATTTTCACGGGATCGTAAATTCAGACAAAGTACAAAACAATTAAGTCAAATGACTGATGACTTGTACACAGGGGCGTATAAATATCGTAAATAAGACCAACCCATTTTTTGTAGTCAGATTACGTAATATGAAGCAAGTTTTCTCTCCACTGTGCACCTCGTAAGTATTTTCTTCGCTCCGTTGGAGTTCTATAAACCTTGTTTCCCTAATCTTTCTACAAAAGTTTTCTGTTGATCAAATTTGAATACGTCACCTTGTTTTACTACAGTCCATGAAACTTGGTGTTTGCATGTGCTATACTTGTTTGTGCTGACCAAATATGCAAGCACAAGTGCGAAGTCTAGCAAGTTCTATTTGATTATAGATGTCCATCCACAATAACATTATTATTCAATCAATTATCATTCAATCGAGTGAGATGCCAACAAAATCTTGATAAAATAAATAATTTTGCAAGATATCTTTTGCAACCATGCTCTGCATCAGCTAGGGGCTTAAATTGTATAGGCCGTGTGAGAGGAGGGGCAGACTGCATGTGGGCGGATGGTGGTTTGATATATGGTACTGGGATTCTAGTTTTATAGGCATTACAGTATATGTATGTTCATTATACAGTATACCTTAATGCTTAATTAATTTTATTCAAATTAATAAACATGAACGGGCTATGTGATATATATTAGAGTGCATGTTTGACTTTATATCATTCAACCACATTTTCAGGACAAATTATGAAGGCTATCAATACTGCAACACACATTTGGTAAAAAAATGAAAATATAATTCCTGATATAGTTTACATTTGATGCTAACGTTAATATATTAATATATTAAACGAATATATACTCTAATTATTTCATTTTCCCATTTAGTTTTACAGTATGTATTTTTGCTGGGGATGAATGCCTCTGCATTGGAGACAGGTTAAGCTTTCTCTCACATCATACATCGGAAAGTAAGCTTAATTTAGTAAATATATCATTGTAAGATGAAGTACTTCCATAAACTTGTATTCTTGTTTTTGTTGAGACGCTGTGAGATTTTTACGCACGTATATAGCCTACTGATCTAATGAAGGCAAAAAACGGTATATTTACTCACTTCGCAGGAACCAGCACATCCAGCTTATTTCCTTACAAAAAATTTATAGGAATGGCATTTTCAAGCGATGAGTATTAATCTAAATAACGTACAGGAAGTTAGAACCGCACAAAGGGGGGGGGGGCAAGGGGGGGG